ACCCTGGGTTGAATGCTTTGGGGGCCTGGGATGAAGTTCAAATCTGGAAATAGAGCTGGTCTTTGAATAACATGGAGGGGATTAGGGATGCTCATGGCCTTTCCCTCAGGGTAGCCCAAGATCCACGTCTAACTTGTAGTTGGCCCTGTGTGTCTGTGGGTCTGATAGAAAAGAACAATCCACGTGTAAGAGGGGACCAGCATAGTTGAAACTGTCTCTTCTAAGCATCAGCTGTGCTGGGTTTTCGTAAAGCAACAACTTTTCAACACACAGCCCTGGGGATTGATTACATTGTACAGTGAAACACGCACCTCCCTAGAAATCAGGGACCTGATGAAATCCTGGTTGTGGTTCTGAGAAGCTGAAGAGACATTTGGAAATGGCCCCCCTTTAGGTGCTGCTGACGGAGCCGGAGGCTTCTGCCTCCTCATTGTTGCCCTTCTGTGCCCTCCTGTCCCGGTTGCTCTGCTCAGCCCAGCGCCCACCCCTGAACCCCTGCAGCAATTTCCTCTATATTAAAGATTCCCTCTTTGAAGAAGTTCCCTTTAGAAGAAAATTGATTTGTGGAGGAAAAAAATACCTTTTATAGAAAACAATAAAGAAAAGCAAAAATGAAAAGTTCTGTACAAGTGATATCTACTGTTGAGTGGAATGCTGTAGAATTTTGTAGCCTTAATATGTATTTCACATGTCATCCATCCTGAGCAAGAATTGTTCTGTGATTCAGGACTGACATCCACACCACTAAGGAAAAATCAACTGATCATAGCCAGTCTTTCCAATGACATAATGCTGTATAGTTACTGGTGGGGAGAAGTTTAGTAACATTGGAATTCTTCAGAGCAGGGTTGGTAAAATTTAAAATATCTTTATTAATGTTTCTCATAATAATAGTTCTATGTGAGAAAAAAATAATACTTTGCCTAAAATAAAAGAATCTTCCTGCTCTTTGCAGAGAGCAGGAAAGAATAATCTTGGAAAGAATAATCTGCAAGTGACACTGAATCTATGAAGTGATACAGAATCAGTAATTAAGTACAGAGCATTGACCTCTCAATGTCTTCATTAATTGGTTTTGCTATTTACATAGGAAGGAACAAAAAATGATGGGGAAGCCTTAGAGTGTTAGCCCTTTCCTGACTGCCCAGCGCTGTCAGGACAGGTTGTTCCAGCAATGATGGCTAATTGGCTGTGAGTATTGGGGTACAGAGGAAGGTGGCTCACCATTCACGCTGGCCCAGGAACTTGAGTTTTGATATACAGATCCTGAATGATTTAAATATTTTCTTTAGAAAAAACATTTTAAGATGTGCCACTGTTTTTGTTTTTTTGAGTGACTGTAGCATACACATGCTTAAAGTGAATTCTTAAATTTGGGGTTCATTTGGGGCTTTCAGTTTCTTAAATCTGCAGTGAATTAATCACTTCAACTGTGTGCTTTTTTTTTTTCATAAAAGCATTTTACATTGTTCTGAGAAGATTACATTCTTTTGGCTTTGGACAGATATTTCCTGTTCAGTTCTAGCCACTAGAGCCTGTTTGCAGTTGACATCTGGAGGCCCTGTGGAGTCCGCCTTCCATCACACCAAAGCCCAGGGTGGCTGGCTGGGCCTCCAGGCTGGGCCTCCAGGCTGCGCAGGACCCCAGACTGTTTACTTCCCCAGGCCCTGCCCCAGCACAGCCCGTGTGCCCTTGTGGTTGAGGTTTGGGTTTGGGCGGGTGGTGGGGCTTCCTTCCTCCCTGGGGATGTGTTTTGTGTGTGTGTGTGTGTGTGTGTGTGTTGGTTGTGTGCATTCCTCCTGGGTTGGGGAGGGGTCTTTATCCTGGCTTGGGCAGGGGGTATTTCTTCCTCCTGGGTTGAAGAAGGCATTTTTCTCCCTCCTAGAGGTCCGGGGTTTTCCTTCCCAGAGACTTAAATGCTCCCTCTCTCTTCCCCTCTTAAGCTGCTCTTTTTTTCTTTTTTTTTTTTACTCCTACCCAATTTTCTTGAAAGCTAACCTCAAATTTTCTGTGTAAAAGGGAAGCTATGGATCTTCTCTGATAAGGGGGTTTCCCCTAGAAGGAAATGAGCTAATTGAAACTAAAAAACTGGAGAATCATGGGCCCCTGTGTGCCCCCCAGCAATGTTGGGGTGCTTCCTAGGGGTGCAGGGACCTAGATCTTCCTTTGAAGCTTTAACAGCTGAGTGTGGGTGCTACAGCGTGAGGGTATGAGACAGTCCTGGCCTTTTCAGGAGGGTTGATTTATGCCAGCTGGCCCTCATCCCAAGGGGCTGGCCTAACGTGGACCCCTACTTCAGGATATTTGGGCACCCCCGACCAGGGATTGATTCTGTGGGGCTTCCCACTGAGAAAACCCCTGACCCACTCCTGGCCAGCCAGGCTCTGGAGCTCAGAGGAGTGTGGGTGCCCTGGGGTTACTGTCTCCTGAGATGAGGGGGTCACAGCTCCTCAGTGAAACCAGCAGGGGGCGCCTTTATGCTGTGATGGGAGTACAAGGCATTCCTGGTGCTTCTCCAGAACCAGTGCCACTAGAACCCGAGCCAGGCCGCCCTGGGCCACAGTGGGGGGACTGGGCAGGAGGCTTCCCTGGAGCAGCCAGACCTCTGGACCAGGTGGTCTTGGGTGAGGTGGCCCTCCTGGATGCCAGAACCGCCCCCCCCACCATGACCCTCAGGATGCCTGCCACGGGGGGCAATAAGGGTGGAGTCTGGCTTCTGACACTCCCCTCTCGGCCCTCACCTCTCCCAGCCCTCTGAGGAGGAAGAGTCAGCTGGGATCTTTATGGCTCCTTAGGAAGTTGCCTGGGGACCTTTTTGAGAAGAATGGCATTGATTAAAGTCCTTTTCAAGGGGAGTGACTGGGGTGCCCCAGGGTGGAAGCCACCCTTTTTAAAATTTATTTGAGCTGTACCAACCCCCTTTTGCAATCCTGTGGGAAGCCACACAACCCAAAGAGCAGTTGAAGTGGAGAGCTCAGCCACTGCCACCTCCAGGACCTGAGGGCTCATGGGAGAGGCTGCGGGAGGGGAGGAGGCTTGGAGGTCGGTAGGGGTGAGGCTGCCTTCATTAATTGGTTTTGCTCTTTACATAAGAAGGTCCAAAAATGATGGGGAAGCCTTAGAGCTTTAGCCCTTTCCTCACTGCTCAGCCCTGATGGCAGCCTTCAGGTGTGAGGCTCCGCAGAGGGGGTGGCAGAGCTGGGCCTTGAATGCAGGACCCACAGCCTTGAGTCCTGCCCCAGCCCTTTGTTTTCCCAGTTGTACAGGCCTTTAAGATGGGTCTTGAGGAGGGGGTGGGGAGCCGGAGCTAGTTAGGGGCTCTGGGGAAGAGGACTTGGGCTGTGGGCTGAGGTGTGGGACTGTGCTGATTGGGCCACTAACTACTCTGATCTCCAACATCTGAGTTGTGTAGAAGCTCAGCCTTTTGTGGAGAAAGATCCCAGAGTCCGCTGACCACTTCATCATCACCGAGTATTAATTCTTCCCGACTGTATTGTACCTGTGCATTTAGAGCTGCAGTTTTGGGGTGTGCATTTCATACTCAAATACTTAGAAAAATCGAGCAGTGGGAGGAGGTAGGTACTCAGCCACTTGCCACGCTGAATGGCTGTGACATTTCACTGTGGAGAGCCGGGGCCAGAGCTGGGCTCTCACACAGACCGAGGCCGGTCCCTGCTGCTCGGGACCTGTTTTCTGTGAGTGCGTCCCCCAGAACTTACCAGGACCCCTGATCACAGCCCGCCTGGGGACGGGAACCTGGTGTTATGCCTGCAGCCGCTGCTTCTTGGAAAGTGGCTATGTTGGGAGCTGTTTCGGTGGGTGTTTATTCATAAGCTTACCACCCCTCTCCCCTCCCCGCAGGAGCCCCCAGGTGAATTAGAGGCAGGGTGCATGGAAGGAAGTCGGTGACAAGCGCCCTCTTACCTGGGGACACATCAGCCAGGCCCCAGCCTGCATTAGGGGAGTCTGACCGCTGCTTCCAAGCTGAACTGGAAGCTGCTCATGTGTCCGATTGTTCAGGATGTGGTTTTCCCCTTGAAGTGAGGTGAAAAGAGAGATGCCCAGGTGGGGGCAGGGGAGGGGTAACTTGCCCACGACACGTAAGGCGTCTGTGGATGGCCGATCGGTTTACAGTCCACACCACCCTCGTAAAAGAGCAGAGCAATGAAAGAGGAAGAACCTGCAGCTCTTAGCAACCCGTGTGGTGAATGGAAGCTGCAAAATCCTAACTCAGGCTGGATTTGGTCAGTTACCAAGGTTCTTTCTGATCAGCCAGACACGCTCTCAAGGTGTCTGCCGGGACAGGGGCCGCTGTGGCTGATCTGGTGGGAGGACGCTTGGGAACCCACTGGTGGCTGGGGTGAATGGGAGGAAGTTTCCACAGCTTTCCAGGGGCTCACGTTGAACCTTGTGTTTCGTGGGGCTTGTTGCCAACCCTGCCGTGGGAAATGTCTTCTATTTCCTCTTGGTGTCTGCTGCCGCATGCATCCTTTTTTCATTAAAAACAAAACAAAACAAAACCAATCAGGGCCTCCCCTGGTGGTGCAGCGGTTGAGCACTGTGCTGCGAAGCTGCCCGCAGCCTCTGCAGCGCCGGTTCAATCCCCAGCTGCTGGTTGAGGGTCCCACAAGACGCGCAGACCTCTCCTGCCGCCCGCTGCTCCCCTCAGCAGTGTATTTCATCAGTCTGCCTGTTCTGTTCCCCGCTCTGTCTCTGGTGAATCCTCTTACCCTCCCGTGCTTCTGACTGTACCCAGTGCTTGTATAAATAAATAAAATAAATCTTAAAAAACAAAACAAAGCAAAACAAAAAAACAAGAAATGACACAAGCAATTTTTAAGGCAAATGCTCAATGTAGGTATGTTCTTTTTTTTTTTTTAAAGATTTATTTATTTATTTATATTGTAGGTATGTTCTAAATAAGTTTCAAGAAGTCGTGGCTTTCCTTTTATTAAAAGAATAAAACTAATGTCCTTCCTTGCATCTTTTCTCCCTCGCAGGCTACCCTGTGGATATTCTGGAAGATGACCCTGAGGGGCTCCAGGAAGCAGCTCTGGCTTACCATGCTACCCTCAGGAAGGCCGTGGGGTCCCCAGTGGAGCTTTTCTCTCTCCCTACTGGGGAGCAGGTACCTATGAGCTCTGTGCTAGGAGAAAAACTTTTCTCATTCCCCCTGTAGGTCCTCAGGCTGTTCTAATCACAATATCAATATAAGACTGATTAAGAGGAGAAAGAAAAAGCTGATTTAACTTCCTAGGCATGGAGACCTTATAGATAGGGTCCCTGGAGAAAGGGCCAGAGCTTTTTGCTTCATATCTTTTTCAGGTTTAGGTTTGTAGATCATTAAAGAAGTATCCAAGATTGTTTCCATGGCATCTTCTGCCCTGCATGCTCTCACTGGTGATGAGAATGTCTTCTATCCTTCAGTTACAATGGGGTCTTTTTTACAATGGGATTTCACCTGCTTGCAAGGAGAGAGCGTAACATTGTTCTTGCAATGGCTGTTTCTTAAGTAAATTTAATTCAAAACAATCTACATGCCAAGGTGACCCATTTTGGAGAGGTCTGCTCTGAATCCTACAGAAGAATGTCAGTAAAAGTATTATAGATGAAAAAGAATATCTTCTGGAGTGACTGCTAGAATAATTCCACCTTGTGAAGTACGAGGAATCATGGAAAGGATTTCTGCCAGGACAGCTTGCTCTGAACAACACATTTACCACTTACTATCTCTGTGACTTTGAGCAACCGTCTTAACCTTTCTGGTCTTGGTGTTATCTCTTAAGGTGGGACAGCAACAGCACATAGTTGGCACTATTGTGAAGAGATTAAATGGGATACTATTGTCATGCCTGATTGGGCCTCATTGTCCCCATTTGTACAATGAGGGGACAGTTGCTCTTTGGTCTCCAAGATTTGACTCAATTCTAAGATTTGTGATGTGGAGTGAAGTTATATATGAACTTCAGAACCCCCGCACCCTCCACAGTTCAGTTACATGTGATCAGTCCATGGTCCAAAAATACTACAATGTGCAATAAGATATTTTGAGAGAGAAAGACAACATTCACATAATTTTAATTATAGTATATTATTATAATTGTCCTATTTTACTATTACATATTGTTAATCTCTTACTGTACCTAATTTATAAATTAGACTTTACCACCGGATTCTGTCTGGATAGGAAAAACCACAGAAGATACAGAGTTCAGGAGAATGTGGTTTCAGGCATCCACTGGGAATCTTGGGATGTATCCCCTGTGGATAAGGGGGGCCTACTGTATGGTTTCTGGCACTAATACGACAACTTTTCAAGTATAGACTGGCCTAGAAGAGAGAAATAAAAAATTGTTTGTTGGGGGGTGGTGATGGGTGAAATTTGAAAATTGGGTTACTTTTAAGATATTCACCCCACCCTCTGCAGTGAGTAAAAAGAATATTTGCCTCTTGGGTGGTACTTAAAGTCCTTGTCTTTATAGTTTTAAAGCTAATCTGTTGAAGGGGACGAGATTTTCTGGTTTTATACATACAGGATTTCACCTGTACCAGAAATTGTTGCTCTCTGGCAGGCCAAGTTGGTTGAGGAAGGCAGGGTTTTGTTTCACTGTACTGGAAATGTTCCAGAGTTGGCTAGAATAATGGCTTGTATGGTTTCTATAGGATGATCTGCTGAAGGAGCTGGCTGTACGCACACGCTTTTAGCGCCTCCTAGTGGCGTTTGAGCCGGGCCCGCCAGCCAGCCCGAACCAAGGCTTTTGGCGCTGGTGGGACCTTGGGTTGCAAGGATGGGGTGGGAGGTGAGGGATTGGAGGGCATTGCTGGGAATCACCAGGTAATCTGAGAAGTTCAGTGAGATACAAGAGTTAGTCCTGTACTACTTTAATATGCACTGTCAGTCACCTGCTTTTATTTCCCGCTGATTTATAGGTTGCATTGTTAAAAACCTTACGAAGCATGCTTAGTGAGTGAATAATTTATTATTGGCCAAAACGTAATAAAATAATTATTAAAATTTAATATTTTTCTTGTGGTAGAAATGCTGACATGACTTTATACCTATGCGTTTCTTCCCCTTCTAAAAAAAGGAAGTTTCATAAAAAGATCATTTGATTTCCAACCAGTTGAGCAGTGAGTTGAGAAATGGTAGCAGTTTGCTACTGCAGGTTGAAATAGCCAACTTGCAATGGTATTGGACCTCCGCACTGCTCTTAGCAAATTTAATTTTTCTTTCTGAATCCAGAAGAAAACCTTTCCAAACAAAAAGAAAGATGACGAAGTGATTTGAAGATATATTGTGCCAGTTCCCCAGAAGTCTTTTCTTAAGCAACTCTGCTTCTAGTCTGGAAATTGTTTTTTCTCAATTAAAAGGCCATAATACTTATTGATTTTTTTGGGGTTCTAGAACAGTGTATGTTCTTTGTTTGAAATTTGGGCACTATACCAAGGATAGAAAAAAATAAAATCACACACAGTTACCCACTATAAACATCCATATTCTGTGCATGTTTTTTTCTGCACCTTGTCTATAATAATCATCTTCCATGTCTAACAGTACTTCGTATGTATTGGTTCCGATGGCCTTGTAACGGCCATCTGGGGGTGAATCCTGCTTCCCTCCCTGCTGCTGGTGGGCCAGCTTAGGACTCTTCCTTAAGGTGATTTGAACAGCGGAAGGCAGGAGACTTGTTTACAGGTCTCAATTCTTTGAAACACTGGAGGTCTGCTGTGAACCTTAACAAGCAAGACTAGCTCCACCAAACATTCTTTCCTGATTTTTCTTATACTTTCCTTGTGTTTTTTATTTTTAATTATTATTTTTAAAGATTTATTTTTATTTATACAAGAGCTGGGATATAGGCCAGAGTTACGGGAGGGTGAGAGGATTCACCAGAGACAGAGCGGGGAGCAGAACAGGCAGACTGACGAGGTACACTGCTGAGGGGAGCAGCAGGCGAGACAGGAGAGGTCTTCTTCGCCATGTGGGATTCGCCCTGGCTGGCTGGGAATCGAACCGGTGCTGTGGAGGCTGCGGACAGCTTCACAGCGCTGCACTTAACCCGCTGCGCCACCAGGGAGACCCTTTCCTTATGGTTTTTAAAACAGACTTTGCAATGGGAAGGGTTGACCTTTTGCTCTGGGAGTTAGGAGTGGTGGGTTTGGCGAGCACAGGGATCTTGGGATATAGGCTCTAGAGAGAAAATTCTGGGGTTAGAGACCTGGGCTCAGCCTGTGGGCCCACAGAGGATAGGGGCTTCCTTAGATTGCCTGCAGCGATCTGAGCTGGGTATCCATGTGGTACCCAACTCAACACAGCCTAGGCTGCTTCAGGACAGTTGAGGCTGGAGGTGGGAGTGGGGTCCTGGATTTTGTAGGCTGATGCCCAAGAGAGATTACGGTGGAAAAGGCTGGTGTGGGGAGGCAGTTTCTGAAGGTAGAACCCAGAAGGTCCTGCACTCACACTTGAATAGGTGTCAGGTGGGAGGAGAAAGGTTTGCTGGTGGGGATGGGCTTTTGCCAAGTTGCCGTCATGTTTGGCTTAGAGTGGGTAAGATTCCATTTTTATGTTATCTACAGCCTCTCCAATTAACCTCTGTGTAAAAGTGTTCTTTCAGTGAATATTGCTAATTAATTGTCAAGGGATTCCCTGCACCTTTACTATGATGAGAGAACAAAATGGTGATTTTCTTATTTTGCAGGTTAAACTGGAGGCTTCATCTGTTTGCTTTTGCAGCGTGCACCGTGACGAGCCTCGACATAAAGTACTGGTCTTAGTCAGTCCCCGGGACACAAAGACAGGTTGGTAGTTTTTTTTTGTTTTTTCCATTTTTTAAAAAGATGCTTTATTTGCACATACAAGGGCTGGAGTTTAGGCCAGAGGTGCGTGGTGAGGGTGTGTGTGTGAGAGGATTCACCAGAGACAGAGTAGGGAGCAGAACAGGCGCTTAGTGAAATGAAATGCACTGCTGAGGGGAGCAGCAGGTGAGACAGGAGAGGTCTGCTGCGCCATGTGGGTTGCTCTCTGGCTGGGGATCGAACTCCTGCTGCAGTGGCTGCCAATAGCTTCATAGTGGTGAGATTTAACCCCTTGCGCCACCAGGGAGGCACAGGTTGGTAGTTTTTTATGGATTTCAAGCACAGGGGTCCTGATTGAATTTATAAGTGGTGGAATCAAATGCTTTGGAAATGATGCGGAGCTCTTTGGCTGAAGGTCTTTGGAAAACAGCGAGGTGAGAAGGATGTATTTTCAGCATTTATTTTCAGCATTTTCTAATGGTTCATGATTGTTCACCATTCCTTTTTGCAGACACAGACCCCTCTGGTCCACGGGGACTATACACAGACTGCATTTGAGCGGTGGTTCTTGTTAGTGGTGTGATGGGTTGCACGCTGGGTGGAGCCTTGCTTGGGAGCGTACCATCGCCCCGGGAAGCCCAGGACTGCTACCCCGAGGACAGATGAGGATGTGAGACCTGTCAGTGGTCCTGGGACGCGCCCAGGCCACACAGCAAGAGCAGGGTGGGGATTTTGTTTCTGCTGAGATGTCCCTGTCATCCGTAACTCATGGACTCCCTCGCATCTCAGAGCATTTGGGCCGCTGCCAGCCCCCAGAGCGAGTTCTCTGAGTACATCTGGATCCCTGGGCTCAGTTGCATATGGAGCCGGGTTCTGGGGCTGTTGGCAAGGGGCAGCAGAGATGGTGAGGAGCGCAGGGTCCGTCCTGTGGGTGTGCCCGGAGCCAGGCACCAGTGAGATGCAAGCCGAGCACCTTGCTCCTGACCTCGAAGCCTCCCCATTTCAGATCAGTCCTTAATTTAGACATTTTCTCCTTGCTCATACTTTCCCATGCAGTATACATGGCCTGTAATGATTCTATATTGCTTTCCCTTTTTTTTTTTTTTTTAAAGATTTATTTATTTATTTATACAAGCACTGGGTACAGTCAGAAGCGCGGGAGGGTGAGAGAATTCACCAGAGCCAGAGTGGGGAACAGAACAGGCAGACTGACGAAGTACACTGCTGAGGGGAGCAGGGGGCGCGGCAGGAGAGTTCTGCGCGCCATGTAGGACCCTCACCGTTGGCCGGGGATTGAACTGGTGCTGCAGAGGTTGCGGGCCCAGCACTCAACCGTTGTGCTGCCAGGGGAAGCCCATTGCTTTCCTAATAAGAAATGGGGCAAAAAGCAAACAGCCTTCATCAGTCAACCGGCTTTAAGTGAGGAGGTATCTGGTGAAAGTTTGGGGTCATAGGTCTTGACAGTTCAGAGCTGTCCCTCACCTGGACCCAGGTGTCTGTCGGGGGCCTGCTTGATGGGTGTCAAGAAGCCCAAGGTGACATTTCCGACCAGGGAACTTGTCCTTGTTACTCACGTAGAATTGCTCACTGCGTCTCCCGTCCGTGGTCTGGAGGCATGAGTGTGCTTTGTGGGCTCCCGGGAATCTGGGGATGAAACCTCTGTGGCTCCCAGGCGGGGGTAACCCCTGTGTGTCACAGCTTCTGGTCCTGGAGGAGCTCGTCCCTCCTGGCAAATCCCTGGCCATGAGCCGAGGGGCTGTGACGACCCCAGGCTCTGCTTTCACCTCAGATGTGGGGCTTGATCGCCGGGTTGGTGAAAGTCCCAAGCTGTGCCCACAGGAACGCCTCAGTGAACAGATTGTCAAAAACTAAAAATATCAGCTGCCGATTTTGAGAAAATCAAATATCAGCAGTGCTCCCCTCTGCCTTTTTGCGGCATTTAACAATATTCTGGTTATAGGTCTTTAAGCACAATTTGCATAATGTAAACATATGCCTGACTCATGTAAGTCTGTTTCCTATTTATACTGTACTTAATTTTTAGTTGTTTTCAAGAATGTATTTAATAAATATTCATAGGCTCCCAAGAACTCTCACTCTGGACCTCTCCTTCTGTATAACAGGACTTTAGGTAAAGTTTCCAAATGCCTTTCCTCCAGCGAGGGCTTGTATGGCTGCTGTGATTCGGCGTGAGCTGTGATTGTGGCTTGAGGCTTGTGGCCGATGGCCTCACAGCTTTCAGTTTTCATACTTGGGCCTCTTGACACACCTGCGTATCTGATTGGGAGGAGGCTGCTTCTGGCTGGTTCCTCTTTCATTTCCCATGACAAGTTGTGATTGGGAATGTTTGTGTGCGTGCGCTCAGATGGAAGCTAAGGGATCTGAGCTATTTGATAATTGTTAGTTATTGATAAGCTGATTGAATCCATCATGGTAACTTCCCTAACCCTGCCAGCAAATGAAAACCTTCCTGGATTCCCGGTGACAAGCAGTTACTGTGCCGTGGGCTGCTGTCGGGGTGTGAGGAGGAAGCTCTCCCTCCCTGCCCCCTTTCCTTAAAGGTGGCTGAGACACAGGGCCTCCCTGGTGGCACCAAGGGGTTAAGCACAGCACTGTGAAGCTGTCCGCAGCCTCTACAGCATGAGTTGGATCCCCGGCTGGCCAGGGAGATACCCACGTGGCACAGCAGACCTCTCCTGTCTCGCCTGCTGCTCCCCTCAGCAGTGTATTTCGTCAGTCTGCCTGTTCTGCTCCCCACTCTGTCTCTGGTGGATCCTCCCATTCCCCACACCTCTGGCCTGTATCCCAGCTCTTGGATGCCTACATAAATAAATCTTTTTAAAAAATAAAAAAGGTGGCTGAGACACAAACGCTGGTCCCTGCCACTCCCTACAGGCCTCATTACCCGCCACTTCTCCAATCAGAGGCTGGTTTATGTCCCAAGGGGACATAACAGCAACCTCCCTTCCTTATCATTGCCAAGGATCACAGCTTTCATTTTTTCCCTTTATTTATTTCCCCTTGTTTTGTTATTCTTCTTATTTGAAAACTATTAAGTGATCTCATAGGTTTACAAAGATTAAAAAATAGCCCATCTCATAAACAAAGTGGCGACCTTTCTTTTCTCTTGTATCAAATCAAAACTGTGGTGGCCTTTCGGCTTCCCTCCCGAGACCACAGAGCAAGGAGAGATGAACCTGGATTTTGGTGTCAGACACATCTGACTGGGCATCTGGCTCTGACCTTTGCGAGCTTCAGTCGGGTCATTTGTGGAGACACCTCAGCTATTTCTTCAGGTCACTGTGGAAGTGGTTTGTGGCAGAAAATCGGATGCTTTAAGCCCTGTGGGGCCAGGCAGGCACCACCCACGGTCTCCTTGCCGACGGCACACCTGCACTGCTTCTCTCACCGAGCCTGTGTTCCAGGAGCCACAGAGAAATCAATTGCAGGGCAAACTCTGGCAGCTGACTTACCTTTCTGATGGAGTCTGCATGCAAGCCTCAGGCAAAGGATGGGGCTATCTAGTGTGGTCTTGAGTGCCCCTAATTGTAAGACTGTTGTTCTTTCTACTTGCCCAAAAGTGCCTACTTGGATACATGTCATGCAGCCTTCCAAAAGCACCAGGGTGGGCCTCTTGACGTGGCACAGGGGTTAAGATGCAACCTATGAAGTGGTCTGTAGCCACTGCAGCCTGAGTTCAATTCCCGGCCAGGGAGCTCACCCACATTTTGCAGCAGACCTTTCCTGTCTCCCCGCTGCTCCCCGCAGCAGTGCATTTCAGTCAGTCTGCCTATTGTTTTCCCTGCTCTGTCACCCTACTGTGCATGTGACCTGTACCCTGGTTCTTGTAGGCATGAATAAATACATTAAAAAAAAATCCTAATATTAAAAGAAAAATAGATGATGCCAAGAAATACAACCTCTTTTAAATCCTAGAATTTATGGGCCTCCCTGCTGGCACAAAGTGTAAAGACACAACCTATGAAGCTATCTGCAGCCACTGCAGCACTAGTTCTATCCCCGGCCAGGGAGCTACCCACATGGCGCAGCAGACCTCTCATGACTCGCCCGCTGCTCCCCTCAGCAGTGTATTTCAGTACATCTGCCTATTCTGCTCCCCACTCTGTCTCTGGTGAATCCTCTCACCCCTCACCTCTGGCCTATACCCCAGTTCTCGTGTGCATAAATAAATAAAAATAAATCTCTAAAAAGAAAAATTTCAAAAGCAGCAGGGTGGGCCAGGGAGGGTTGCCTTCTTGCAGCCCTTGACATGGGGTGCCGTTCTCATCCTTGGAAGGGCAGAGGGTCCCCTGAAACAGGCTGCTGGAAAGGCACGTGACCTAGGCTCCTTAAGGGAAGGACAAACTTAGCTAAATTGCAGCTTCATCCTCTGGTGATGCTCCGGGTGTGTCCAAGGCAGGGCACTGTCCATGAAGGAGTCACTGGGGTTATGGGGCCTCAACCCATTAGAACCAGAGTGAGGAACCGGGGCACCTTAGAGCACAGGAGGAATGGGGGGCCAGGAGCTCATGCTCAAGAGTCCTTAGATCACTAGGCCCAGTGTTTCCCAAGATGATGTCACGCAGTGGAATTTCAGAAGGAAAAGATGAATTATCTTTTAATTTTTATTTCCATCTTAACTCTATCTAGGGAAAAGTTTCTGTTTTCTGCTTATCTAACACTTATTGAGTGCTTTTAAAAAATAAATTAGTCTCTAAGTGGAGTGCCCTTGGCTGCATTGAAGATTTGTGTTTGTAAGATTTGTTTTTTTTTAAAGATTTATTTATTTATGCATATAAGAACTGGGGTATAGGCCAGAGGTGTGTGTGTGGGGGTGAGAGGATTCACCAGAGACAGGGTGGGGAGCAGAACAGGCAGACTGACTGAAATACACTGCTGAGGGGAGCAGTGGGTGAGACAGGAGAAGTCTGCTGTAAAATGTGGGTAGCTCCCTGGCTGGCAGGGGATCGAATTCATGCTGCAGTGGCTGCGGACAGCTGCAT